AGGTTCCTTCCATTTAGAGCTGAAATCCTAGTCTGTAGACGGAGGGAGAGAGCGGGAAAAGTATTTGATCTGTCACTGGAAACACAGAGAGAGAGAGAGGGCAGGATTAAGCGGATTTGGATCAGAATCATTTGATAATATTTGAAGGCCAGTGATCGTGCGGACGGGCTTTTATATGAGAATGCTAATTCATGTGCCACATACATAGCTGATATGCGCATGGATCTTAACTAACCTTTTGAAATTGGACTATTAGAAATTTCAACATGTGGGGGCCGATGTAAGCTTCTCTCATGCTTGCTTAACAACATGAATTATTATAGACTAATTTTAGCCAACAAATTAAAGAATTCAACGGTATTTAATAGAAACTACAAGATGATGTTAATAAATAAACATTTAAAGGCGTTACCTGAGAATATGAACGCTTGAATGATTAACTGGGCTTACAACTATAAATTAAATTTTAATCTCATTAACTTACAATGGGGAAGCCACGTAGGTTAACCTTCGAAAAATAAAGCATGGCAATCTAGAAATCCAGACCAGCAGCCACTCAATCTCGTGCTGTCATATTTTATTCATTAACATGAGAAATTTAACAAAAAGTATTTTGCATAAATTTGTAACCAGTGTAATTTATTTCTTTAAAGAATGAAATGGAATATCTGTAACTGATAAACCCCATAATGTATCATAAACTCAATGCTACGTCGTTCAGGCAATAATAATAATTCTATTATCAGTCATCTACACTCAACTGAATGTTTATGCCAATCGCGATGATAACAAATACATATCCTGGTCAAACGTTCAGAGATCTGCTCCAATGTCCAAAGCACAACTGGGACTGGGAACCCTTGGTCCTGCTTTTAATGCCTTTAACATCATTTCCCTCTTTTGCACACTTGATGACTTAAACAACGGTGAGAACTGGGCAAGCAGATTCTCCACTGTTACTATGTTGAATTTAAGTAAGAATCCTCAGTTGAAAGTAAAATCCCTTTGTATGAATCCGCGTCAGGTTCAGGTACTAGGCGTCTCCTAAGCATCTCTTCATATATTATCTCAACCTCTCTGTTATATCGCTTCCCGCACAACACCTTGACAAAATTAGAGAATGCATCTAAACTAACTACAAAGTTATTACTAATCATTTCATAAACCGTCTGAATTGCCATTTGCTCATTGCCGTCCTCACAGTATGCTCTAAGCAAGCAGTTGTACATGGTAGCATCCAGGTGATGTCCATTCTGAAGCATCTCCCTAACCAACTTTTCAACTTCTTGCATCCTACTCTTCATTTTACAAAGGCCACATATCACTGCGCTATATGATAAGAAATTAGGCGAGCAGCCAAATTCTGGCATCTGCTTTAAAAGAAGAATGGCTTCTTGTAGCTTCCCTATGTCCACAAAAACTCTAAACACTGCATTGAAACTTGACACGCTAGGCTTAATGCCTCTGGCCCTCATTTCTCTTAGAATGAAATTGCTGCATCTGGTTTTCTGATTTTGCAACACTCGTTAACAATAATGCCATATGACTTCACATCTGGATTCATCCTAAGACTAACCATTTCCTTCATGTGCTTGATAGCTTCATCAGACTTGCCTACAATGCAAAATCCCTTTATTATGCTCGTATGAGTGACAACATTGTCTTTTAGACCATTTAACCGCATCCTACTCATCATCCTCTTCCCTTCATCTACCTTCCCGCTCAAACAGAGACCTTCTATAAGCGCATTGTAGGTCAAGACATTAGGCTCACAACCGTGCTTCGCCATCTCCATCATACAATTCATTGCCCTCCTGCAATTCACCTTTTTTAGAGTAACCATCAATCAAAGTCGTGTAAGTTACCACATCTGGTGCACATTTCTTACTTTCAATCATTTCATTAATAATCCTCTTGGCACTATCCATATCACCTTTCTTACAAAATGCATTGATCATTACGTTGTAAGTGAACAAGTTCGGGTCACATTTCATTTCATCGAACACCTTCCTGGCGTGCTCCACCATACCCGTTTTACAGAAGCCCCTAATCATCGTGGTGTAAGTATAAACATCGGGAACCACCACACCTTCCTTCACAAGCTGATCGTAGAAAGCCTTGGCCAAATTGACTCGATTCGCTCTCACCAACACACCTAAAACCGAATTATAGGAGTACAAACAAACGGCCTCTTTCATACGATTTAACATAGTGGAACCAATGAATGGCACCCCTAATATCGCCACTATCACCGAGAGCTTTGATGAATCTGGCGATGATAAAGTCAGAGACTTTGCGAGAGTGGTGAAGGAGGGAGAAGGCGGTGGAGAAAAGGGAGTGAGAAAGCAAGACGTCAGTGATGGCGATGTAACAGGAGCGAGTATGGAAGTAGTTTTTAGGGTTAGGTTGAGGGTTGGAAGCCCAATTGAAGAAGAAGAGGGCGTGGAAGGGGTTTTTCTTTCTTAATTACTTGGATAACTAAGTCTGGATTGAGATAAGAAGCGAACTGATTAAGGGGTTGGGAACTGATGTTAGCGTTCTGGGGATTTAGGGTTTGAAGCAGTGAAGTTATGGAGGTGACAAGGGAGGGGTTTGGAGGAGCACGCCAAGGCCTGGCTGCAGCCATTCCCTCACAAGCACAAGTGGTCAATACTCTGTTGCGCCTACATTTATCAGAAGCACATGAAATTTCACATCTTCATAGCACAAATGCCCTAATTTTTCAGATCACCGATGTAATAATAAATCATAATCATCGGAGTAAAACGGAAAACCATTCTTTCAATTGAAGATTGAAGCACAGTAGGATTGCCGGGAGTCGAAGGACGAGATGGCATAGACCGAGTTATATCTCATGTAAGTCCGTGAGGTGAAATCTAAGCCTGCAAGTTGCGACCCCGCAGTTCATTTTAACCTAAATACAAAATTATTAGGAAAAATGACAGTAAAATACTATGTAAATTTCAAAAGATAAATAAGGCACCTGAATAAGCAAAATGACAAATAGGGCATTGGGTACCAATTTGGAATTTAGATTTTTGTCTAATGACCGAATTGCCCTAATGAGTGAGGTAAAAAGAGCTGAAAGTGAGAAGAAAGCAAACAGAGGAAGACGTTGATGAAACACAAGAAGAAAGAAAGAAGAATATTGGAAATGCTATTATCTTACTCCTCCGCATTACTATTCTGTAACATTATTGATTTGGTGGGTTTTTGTTGTGGGAAAGAGGATTTGTAGTAAGAGAAGGAGTGAACCTGTAGGATTACGTGAGTGAGTAGGAGTTGATGGCGGGATTTGGATTATTCATTTTTGTGGCTGCTTCATGGTGAAATAGGAACAGGATTATTGCATTTGAGGGTTTATATTCAGTATTTGGTGAATGATGAAGCAGAAATCAGAAAATAGTGGCAAGCAATTACGTAATGTAACTGCTGTCATATGCCTACTAGTTTTTGGTAAATCTCATTACGTGAATGGTAGATTTTATTATACATGTAGTTAATTATGAAAATTAATAGTTCAATGTTTATTGTGATATATTTCAGGTGCACGTTCACTGAATGATTTATTTATGCTTATAAGTTGTCCTTCTAGTGAAAACAGGTTTACAAAACCCATTGAAGAAGTGGTCACTTTCACTATAAAAGTTGTAAATCCCATTATGTGTTTTGTAAAATTCAGTGTGAAATTTTATTGGTGGTGAAAAGTAAGTTACTCATCCCTAAAAATATGTTGCAAAACCTATTAACAAAAGGTCACTTTTACTACAAAAATTTATAAATCCCAGTATATGTTTTGTAAAATTCAACGTGAAATTTTATTGGTTTTTAGAAACAAGTTGCCCATCCTTTGAAAACAGTTTGCAAAAGCCATTTAAGAAGTGGTCATTTTCACTATAAAAGTTGTAAATCTCACTTGTATGTTTTGTAAAATTCAGCGTGAAATTTTATTGATTTTTAGAAACAAGTTGCTCATCCCCTGAAAAGAGGTTGCAAAACCCATTAGAAGTGGTCATTTTCACTATGAAAGTTGTAAATCCACTATATATTTTGTAAAATTCAACATGGAATTTTATTGGTTTTTAGAAACAAGTTGCCCATCCCTTGAAAACATATGGCAAAACCCATTAAAGAAGTGATTATTTTCACTACGAAAGTTGTAAATCCCACTATGTGTTTTGTCGAATTTAGCGTGGAATTTTATTAGTTTTTACAAACAAGTTGTTTATCTCCTGAAAACAGGTTGCAAAACCAATTAACAAAGTGGTCACTTTCACTATGAAAGTTGTAAATCACAATATGTGTTTTGTAAAATTCAGGACAAATGGTTTAATAATACTAGAAAACTAGATAGCTTCACATTATCTGAAAACGATTTTATGCGAAGAACAGAGACAGAACCAAAAAGAGGAATGTTAGACAATAACATTTTAAGCTGTGGGGACCCATCGAAAATACTCTATGAAGAATAATATTTAAGTTTCCTACTTGCTTATCACAGTTGGTGTTACTTCAGCGACCTCTTCGACGACAACAATCTCAAGAAGTATGAGTTATTTCAAACAGGGCAATGTATTTCAAAGATGGTAATCAAATTTAGCGACGGCAATCTACTCCTGCGACGGCGGCAATGTGATTTCGAAGAACCCTTTTTGGTGACGGCAGGAACTTGGATTTAGTTTCGTCGAAGGAAATCAGTTTCTCCCTTTCTCTATCGCATGAATACGCTGCTCAGTGTTCAGAGATAATAAAGACATTTCAGTCTTTATACCAAAAAACTAAATTCCAAATTAGTACCAATGCCCTATTTGTCATTTTGCTTATTCATGTGCCTTATTTGTCTTTTGAAATTCACATGGTATTTTGTGGTCATTTTCCCAAATTATTAATTAATTTAATAATCAATTTTTTAAAATGATTGTGGGATTGTCACGCAAAGGACTAAATAGTAAATACAACTCTGCTCAACATGTAACCACACCTATTTATTGTATAAATTTTCAATCATAGTGCAGGGGCGGGGAAAAGCCTGGGGGAGGCAACGGAGCCTGGGAGGCCAGAGGTTGAAGAGGACTGAGCCGAGTTTGATTAGGCCATGCCATTATATGCATCTCAAGGGTATCATTTCCGTCTATGGCCGAACTGAGAGTGTCCTTTATGTCGGAGTGATCACAACAGTGGATAAGACCCGCAGAGCAAACGGAGGAAGGCATCACGCTCTTGCCGTGCAACCGAGAGATCACCAGAAGGAACCCTTTCCCTGTGGCTTCTTCAAACAGTTCTCTTACCCCTGCTCTCTCTGCTACTGAACCTTCTATCACAGAGTACACGCACACAAACCCCTGCATATAATAATGAATTCGGAACAATTCAACCCATTTCTCAAATTCTATGCGACAATTTTTTGTTTGGTTAAAAATACCTCTTCTGTCCGTTTGATTTCCATCCCAAAACGCTCTTCCTTGGGTCGAGGGATCAATTCTATTGATATTTCTGCTACTCCTGGTAGATACCAAAATCTTATACCCTGCATAATCTGGGTATTGGCTGTGTTGTCTTGTTGTTTGCTCCTACTTCTTGTTTCCCTTCCAGGAACGTTGCTCCTCTCCTTTTTACAAGCAAAATTGAACGTGGCTGGTTTGGTTAGTTAAATATGTCTCTCTCGTTCACGCATTTATAATACGTAGTCATAAAATTGTGGATTTTTCTATGGCTTCTTACGATAAGGGTGTTTTGTATTCTAATTCAATGATTGTGATGAAGAAATATATTACCGACGATAAGGGTGTTTTGTATTCTAATTCAATGATTATGATGAAGAAATATATTACCGACTGGGCAATCTGTTCTGTCTGGATATTAACAAAAACAAGAGGGACTCCTGAGGAAACTGCTGCACAGAACCACGCCATACACCTACCAGTGGTGGTATGGACGCAGTGTTCCCCCTCCAAGGGCGTGAACAGTATGGAGCTCACCACTGAACACCCTCTGTCAGGAAGATGCATCCCTGCTTTCATCTTCCAGTCATACTTTATCCCACTTTTGCGGAATCCCCTGTTCTCCACATTCATAACTTTTCTGCTCATTTCTGCACATTCAAAATCACAAGATTCTCATCTCAGATGCTTTTCATCACTTCATAATTATAACGAAAGTCTCATGACATCTTCAACATTTTGATCTCGCTTTCATATTTTTTCATGTGATTTTACACAGTTGAGGAAAACTTTCTCAAGATATGGATGACCGCGTACCCTGCAGTTCAATGCATTGGTGCAATGTCAAGTCATCTAACTCTGCAATATGCCTGGGATCTGTGACGGCTTGGATAGTGTACTTCTTTTGAATTATTGAGCTTTTCCGTTGCACGATACGTGCCTTCAATTTCAGAGTGCTATAACCCTTCTAACTTTCAACCATATGCACTCATTCTGAGGGTTGATCTTGCCGAGATGGGAGCTTAACTCGGACTTGGCCTTCACTGGTACGAAAGAATCATCACTATCGTCCTCTGCAAATCCCTCAATGATGTCTCCGGGCAACGGCATGCTCTCCTCCCACTCATCGGCTCCCTCTTGCTTCACTTGCTTCACACAAACGAGCTTCTGATCAAGTTCCATGTTCTTGAAGATAATGCAGGAGTAGACCTTGAAGCTGGATCAGCTTCAATTCAAGAAAAACAGAGATTTCTTCAAGACACGCTATAACTATGGACAAGAAAGCATTTCGATGGGGCAAAATGCGTTGTATCTTTAATCCCAGATCCTAGCGATTAACGTCTATATCCTAGTGATCAACGTCTATCTGGCTTTACATAAATGCCATAGGCTATCGCCAAGATGGCTTGCAGGATCCACATCCTCTTTGTGGCTTGTCCCTTGGCCAATGCTTAACGTCACTGGCTATGCCTTCATCGCTATCACCAATGCGGTAAATTAATGTTTCTCCCCACAATATTAAAGCATGTTATGAATGGTTAAGGTGTTTTCTTTTTAAGAACTTCGGTTGGAATCACTAGAAAGTAACAAAAAATGATTGTGCAATCTTGTATAACTTATTGAGAATTAAATGAGCTGCTCATATAAAAGACAATCTCCGTGGAGAATTCCCATTCTTGATTTACTCGTTCTTCCCTTTATTCATGGTTTCAACTCCATGCAAATAGTACAACATGTTAACAGTCAAAAGATGACAAATTCATGCCACGAAGACCAAGCAATGAATGTTGTCTCGAAATATTGAAGTCAGCATAGCTGTAGTCCATCATGCCAAGCTCCTATCATTGGGAATTCAGCCTCTGAAAATCAACCAGTTGGTAAAGGTCGCCACGCCGTTTTTTTGTCAGTGGGAGACTTGCCCTGATTAATCAAATCATAAAATTAGACAAAGAATGACAAGCGACTTTACGGTAAGCAGAGATATCAATGTGGATTAAAAAAAATATTATATATATATATATATATATATATATATATAAACATCTGAGGCTAGATGAACCACCTCCTCTGCTCTAACAATGAATAGTCGATTTCTGCTATGATGATTGCCTCTTCATGTTCTGTAGTTGCCAAAACTTCTCCAAACTGACACATATGGATATATTTTAGTAAGTACTAATTCAGAGATCAGCTCATTAGCTATACCCATAATAATCAATAGAAAAATTGTCGCTCCAAATTTTAGGTATTTTCTATCAAATTCTACAATAAAATTTAATTTGACGTTAAGTAGTTAAAATAAAGTTCAAGTATTTCATTTTTATTGAAGAACTAGCATTCTCCCCATGCCTGCACGGGATCAAGGAATTCAATTCAAACATTTTATGGCGGGGCAGAATATAGCTGAATTTGAATGTTATGAAGTCTAGGAAAGTTAGATACAGTTAGTACTTACCGGCCCAACAAGAGTGGAGTGGCCCCAAGCCACATAACCAGAACCAGTATCCCGAGCAGGTGAACAAGTGGCCACATATAACTGTGAATACTCAATAGAGAATTTCCAAAAGGTCAAAAAACAAAACAAAAAAAAAGAAGAGAGAGAGAGAGAGAGTTTCCAAAAGGTGATCATTCACAATGTCTCAGACCTTAAGCAACATTCCACAAATACAGAGAGGTTAGAACGTAGATTAAACCCAGACTACAGCCCAAGGCCAATTCCAATGACAAAATAAATTGCATCAGTATCCCCACTAATATATGGAAAAAAATATGACAACTTTTGACAGCCTACAACACCAAATTCCTTAGTCCAGGCATGCTATTCATATCTTTCCATCCAAAACTAGCCCAAGAAAAGAGATATCTCTAAATCACACGCAGAGCTTAAAATACCGCTAGAAGTGCATTAAAAAATTTCCACAGAAAACAAACAAAAAATAAGGGGTCATTACCTGGTTATCTGTAGCCCTGCAAATAAAAAAGAAAAATACAAATCAGCACAGGATAAATCCGACAGTTATTGCTTAATGATAATTTTGACACAACAATAAAGTGATAAAGAAACAGCAGAATAGGGTAAGTGGTGGGGAACACAATGAAGTGACAGGTAAGAGAAACACAACTTAAGAACACAGTCACACGTCATGCGTTTCAGGTCGTAATGTGGACAGCAAGCAGAAATTATTACTACCTTGCTCTCTGCAATAACTCCCAATGCAGGGGTCCAGTAGTCATGTTGAATGCACCAGGATAGCAGAGCAAGTGAGCACCTGAGGTCAAAAGCAAATCTGTATTTATCCGAAAACTTGCAAACAAGAAAAGTAATGTGATCAAAGTGATTCAAATTCTGAAACAAATCAATTTAACTGCAGCAATTTATCATAACTTGCCCTTTGTTTGATTTTCCTCAAAACCCCACAAACGAAAATCCCAATTTGGCAAAACGGTTCACAACCCCAAATTAAACAATAAGTTATCCACAGAAACCATCCCCTGGATTCTGAGTCACCCTTACCATCACAAACCTTCAACCTAACCTAATTTCTACCATAAATCCATCCAACAAAACCTTAGGATTGACCCATGCAGTCCTAAACCTCATCAGTACTATGGCAACATTCGAACTAATGAAATAATGTAAGAACTGGTAAATTTCAAGTTGACCAGTAGGACAGGATTAATTACTTCCAGCTAAATGAACTAAACTAGAAAGGGGAAAAAATGCAAACCAACCTCTTGCCGCATATATCATTGCCAATTCCTGAAATCGAATGTCATAACAAATGCCAATACCAATGCGCCCAACTTCTGCATGAATCAACTCTCCATTAAAATCATGAAAAACTTCACGTGAAAATTTAATTTTGGGAACAGCTCTCATTGCATAAGGCAATCAGGTAAGGATGTGCTCTGTTTTAAGTACAAAATATGATTGAATGGGAAGCCTTTAGAGCTAGTTTCTTTTTTCTAATTTTATTTTTAAGAAACCCAAGTGCAATTTTTAATATCTTTACTGTCAGGTTCTCTGATAGCAAGGATATAAGAAAATGTATTTCAATGTAGTCATTTTATTTTTTTTCAAAAGAAGCATGACAAATTAGGCTATATATGCATAAACATCACTTCTCTTCCCTCATCAATCAATAAAAAAACAAAGAAAGAAAGAAAGAAGGCAGAACTGCATAAAAACAAGGATATCTTGAAGTGTAATCACCAAATTCATAGTGAAGCCTCGTTTTAAACAAGATCAGCCCTTAGGGGCGTCAAGTAACCAATTAGACATAATACTACATGGTCTATGGAAAGTGTAAGAAATATACTAAAACCAAAATAATGAGTGTGACTTTTATGTCCATTTTCCCATCCGTCTCCAACTGTCCAGCCATATTAGCATCAGTTCTGTCCTATGAATGTTCCTTTCTCATCTAATAATGGCAAAACTATTAGCATAAACAAGAAAAGTGTTATTGTGCTCAAATGTGAAATGAAAGAACATGTTAGACCTGTATCCACGATGGTTGGAGTCTCCCCAGCCGTGAGAGTTTTTGATTCCATAAAGGTAATCTTCCCAGGTATGTCAATATCAAAAAGGTGTATCTGTAGTGGGACTAGCAAATTAGAAATTACACAAGAAAGCAATTCTTCATTTGATTAATATGTCAAACACCATAAAATTTCAAGTCGATGATGAAATCTAGTCCCTAGAAAGATCTGTGCACTTTGAACTATCATTGGCCCTCCTAAAATTCCACAGGTAGCAATTGAGATGGAAACAAAATGAAGTATAAAGATACTTCTAGATCACTGGCTGACAAAATATATAACTTTAGTGGAAGAATTTGTAAAAGTGCCATGTGGTCGCCAATACTACAGTGGTAAATTTCATCTTAATAAAAATTAGAACTAGCTTCCTAAGAAAAATTAAATAGCACACCTAAAACTTTCTATGATCAGGTCCAGTCAGAACTCAAAAATAATTTATAAAGAATGAATTTCTTGATAATTGAACATAAAATGTAGATGAGAGGCAAGGCATCCACATAAAGTTAAAAATCAAACCTTGCGATGTTTTGCTTTTAGCTTTCCATCGGTGCCAAAGACGCAACAAGTGTTGTATAATCGGCCTTCATAACGTTCTGGTATGGATCCTCCAACTATCGTGATCTTCAAGAGACGAGAGACTTCAGAGAGCATGGCAGTTGAAGGAGATGCATCGCCACCAGCATCAATATCCTCGGCGTAGAGGGGGAAGCTATCATTTGAATAGGGACTATTCCATATTTCCTGACAAGTTATAATAACACTTAGTAGAATGCATATTTCATATAGTTAATACAGAAGAAGCGAATGACAGAGAACGCACATTTTATCAAGCTCAACAGGCATAAATTTCAACAGACAACTAATAAAATGAAAAGTATGCTAAGTAA